AGCCTTAACCCAATCAGTGCATTAATTCCCTGATGGGGATTGACTGAGTAGTAAGTGAAGACAGGTAGGGTGGGGCTAGAGGAGGTAAACTTTGGGGGGCTTGCCTTTTTTATTTTTTTTATTTTGTGTATCTCTGCTTCCTGAGATGATGTTCTGAGCTGCTTCCCTCTACCACACTCTTCTGCCATGATGTTCAGCCTCACCTCAAGCCCAAGGAATGGAGTCAGCCATCTATGAACTGAGATTTCTGAAACCATGAGCCCCCCAAAAGCTTTTCCCTCTTTAAAATTGTTCTTGTTAGGTCCTTTGGTCACAGCAACGAAAAAGCTAACTAAAACAAAAGTGGAAAAGAACTTAGCTAAACTGTATTCATGTCCTAGTGTTTTGCAACAAATCAAACATGTGAACAATGAAAATGAATGTTAAGCTGAGGAACTATCTAATGAAAGTGTTGAAGGGAGGGAGGCCTGGTTCTTCCTGACTACTTAGATTTATCAAAAGGAGAAAACAGACGAAAAATTAGGTAAATTTTCAGTTCATCCATATATTCAGTGTATGGAATGAGAAACATGTTTCATAGAGAATGCCAAGGATGTGGCCAAATAACCATCTGATAAAGACATATATAGTCAGCTAGTACCTACCATTCAAAAAATTAAATTGTGAAGGCTCTTCAGAAAACCCAAGCTACCCTTTCTCACAAGATCAGGATGAAAAGGCCCTAGCTAACACAGGACTACCACAAAGAGCTCTCAATAGGACCTGTAAAGTCATCCACTCACACACAATTCCATCCTTGAATACCAATGGGTATGTGACTCATGTACAGACCCGAGAAGATGTTGGCCTGTGGGGGGATGGGAGAGAACACAACAACCACCCTATTAGGTCCAAAAGATGGTACCCTCCCTACCATCTTCAGTGAATGTGGAAGGTTTTATATTGTCTGCCCTACTAGGTTTTAGATTTGCTTGGGGCCTATTTCCTCTTTCTTTGTTCCTATTTCTCCTTTTTGAAATGGGAATATCTATCCCACCAATATACTTTGGAAGTATATAAGATGTTTGATATCATATCAAATGTTTTTAGAGGAGGGGCAAGCATGTGTGCTGTGGTCTGGAATTTCTGTCCTCCCCGAATTCCTATGTTGAACTCCAAATCCCCAAAGTGATAGGATTAGGACATGTGGCCTTTAGGAGACAAAAGTTTATGAGAGCTACTAAAACATCTGAGTAATGCCTCAATAAAAGACTCCCAAGAAAGATCCTTCACCTTTCAACCACATGACAACACAGTGGAAAAAAACGCACTAGGAAGCATGCTCTCCCCAGATCCCAAACCTGTCACAACCTTGATGTGGCATTACCAGCCAAAAGAACTGCGGAAACAAGTTTATTTTATTTATAAGTACCTGGTCTATGGTATTTTGTTACAGAAGTCCAAACAGGCTAAGATAGACATTAAAACAAAATCTGTTAAGAATTCTTGACAAAGAACAGTATGTCATGATAACACAGTCAATCCATCAAAATTTAATATTTAAAAAACATTTGACCCTAATGACATATTTCCAAAATAGATTAAGTAAAAACTGAAAAAACTGAGGAAAACACGGCTCAACAATAATTATCTAGAGACTTAAACATACCACATGAATGATACAGGGCTGGGGTTGTGGCTCAGTGGTAGAGTGCTTTGCCTGGCATATGTGAAGTATGGGTTCAATTCTCAGCATTGCATATAAATAAATGAATAAAATAAAGGTCCATCAACATCTAAAAATATATTTAAAAAATGAATGATACAGCTAAGAGAGAGAGAAACAGAAGGCTTGAACAACACTATTAATCAACTAGACCTAAAAGTATTACACAGAATATGCCAACCAACATCAGAATACACATTCTCAAATACATAGCAACATCCTCAAAGTACGTTTAAGTTACAAAAAAGTTTCAGTAAACTTTAAAAAGACAAACCATGTGGGCTGGGGCTGTGGCTCATTCTATGAGGCTAGTATTATTCTAATACCAAAAACAGACAATGACATCACAAGAAACTATAAACCAACATTCCTCACAAATACAGATACAAGTATCTTCAAATAAATACTAGCAAACCAAATTCAGCAGCATATCAAATGGACTGCCCATTGCAGTTTTAGCCTGGGAAGCCAAGAGTGGTTCAACACAAATATCAGCTGGGGGTTGGGGAAATCTGTCACCATATTAATAGAACAAATAGGGAGAAACCAGAAATGGATCATCTCAATTGAAACAAAAAAAGTAAACAATTTAGGAGCTTTCACAACCCAATAAGAGAACCTATGAAAAACTCACAGATAACATACTTAATAGTGAAAGATTGAAAGCTTCTCCAATCAGGTACAACACAAGGACGTCTGCTCTTACCACTTCCTTTTAACATTGTCTAGACATTCTAGCCATAGAATTGAGAAAAAGAAATGGCATCCAAAATGAAAAAAAAGTAAAACTACCTCTTTTCACAGATGACATGATTTTTAAATTTCAGTAGTGGGGACTGTACTCAGGGACTTGCACATGTTAGAAAAGCACTCTACCTCTGAACCATATCCCTAGACCTTTTTAAAAACACATTTTTGGGACAAGATCTCCCTCAGTTACCCACTTTGGCCAGGAACTTGTGATTCTTCTGCCTCAGAAGTTGCGGAATTACAGGTATGCACCACCATACCCAGCAACATGATCTTATATATAGAAAATCCTTTAAAAAATCCCACCCAAAAATCTATTAGATCTAATAAACAAATTCAGCAAGGCTGGAGCATATAAGACCAACATCAGTTAAGGTAAAAAAAAAAAAAAAAAAAAACCGGAGAATCACAATTCCTAATCTCAAGCCCATTACAAAGCTATGACAACACAAGTGTGGTGACTGCACAAGGATACATACAAGGACCAACAGAACAGAACTACAGGCCAGAAATAAGCCATATGGCCAATTCACTTTCTTTTTTGGGGGGGTGGGGGAGTGTTACTGGGAATTGAACCCAGGGGCACTTTATCACTGAACTATATCCCCAGTCCTTTTAATCTTTTATTTTGATATCCTCCTGCCTCAGTCTCCCTTATCATGAGATTACAGGTATGTGCCATCAGGCCTGGCTTGGCTAATTCATTTTCAACAAGGATTCCAAGGCAATCCAGTGGAAGAAAAATTGTCTTTTCCACAGAATGTGCAAAAGAAAGAAGGTAGAACGATGCCTCACACTGAACACAAAGATTAACTCAAACTTTATGGAGTGAATACTATAAAACACTTAGGAGAATATATATGTGTAAATATTTATGACTTTGGACCTAGCAATGGATTTTGAGACATGACACCAAAAGCACAAACATCAAAAGAAGAAGGAAAATATGAATTCATAAATATTTAAAAACTTCTACAAATCTGAAAATGTTATAAAAAAAGACAACCAACCCATAAAATAGAAAATTTTTACAAATCATATATCTGATAAGAGTCTAGATTCCTGAATAAAGAACTCTTACAATTCATTAAAAAGGATAACTCAAATAGAAGTGAGCAAAGGGTTTGAACAGATTTTCTCTGAAGATTTATAAATGGCCAATGCATGTGAAAAAGATGCTTAATAGCACCAATATGGAAATGCAACTGTTATGGTTTAGATGTGAGGTGTCCCCCAAAAGCTCATGTGTGAGACAAAGCAAGAGGATTTAGAGAAACAAATGGGTTATGAGAGCCTAAGCCTAATCAGGGCATTAATCCAGATAGGAATTAACTGGGTGGTACACCCACCACTTCACACCCACTAGCATTGCTTTAGAGCAAGCAGGGATGGGGAGATGACCATCTTTATTTAAAATCATTAAGGAGAACATATATCAAGAAATATTAGAAAAGGACATCCCTTTTAACAAAGACACAGAATAAATTTTAAAGTATCCAAATGTTAAAACTTTAAGCAGAGCCTAATCAACACAAATTCACCCCCGCAAAAGAATCAAAATAATGTATTTTTGAACTAACATTCTAATACTAAGAGAAACAAATGACAAGTCAACAAACTATTAAGAATGCCATTTTAAAGAGATTTGATTTACTAAGCTCAAAACACAGTGAGTCCAATTCTTAAAGCTTTATATTACTATGCAGATATTCAAATGAGTTGTGATATTCTAAGTAACTGTAAAGCATGTGTTTCTTTAATTACTGAAACCGGGTGTGTAGGGCACACCTGTAATCCCAGAGGCTTGAGAGGTTGAGGCAGGAAGATTTGAGTTCAAAGCCAGTCTCAGCAACTTAGCAAGGCCCTAAGCAACTCAGCAATACCCTGTCTCTAATAAAATATTAAAAAGGGTTGGGGATGTGCCTCAGTTTTTAATCACTCTGGGTTCAATTCCGGGTACCCCCCCCCAAAAATCAAAATAATGTAATATGATTTCAGGTTGTTTTCCCACAAAGTCTATAAAGATTTACAGAAAATTTCCTGTTGAACAGTGACAGATTTCTAGGTGGGACCAAACTATTCAGGTTACATATGCCAAAATAACTTAAAAGTTCTGAAACTACAAAAATATCTGGATATATTGGATAAAAACTATATATGCACACATATCACCCCCAAATACACATATTCAATGCATTGCTAAGCTCAAAAGGTAGGTGGAAAATTCCTCAAGTAAAAGAAATGAAGAAGAATCTGGAAGGCACAGCTCAGTGTGCTGATACACTGAGATTATATATGGATAAGCTCAGGGTATAACACTCATGCAGAGATACAAGAGGTGCCTTAGGAAGCTGAAACAGACTCTTAGAAAAGTCAGGATCCTAGAACAATGTTACCTAAAAGTGTGCCATGTTAGCAACTGGCAGCTTGGTTTCCTAGAAATGCAAACTCCTGGACCCATACTCAGACCTACTGAGTCAGTATTTCTGGAAATGGGCTCAGCAATCTTAAAGAAGCTATCTGGGTGATTCATATACTTACTTACTCAAGTTTGAAAAGTGTTGTCCCAGAAACACAGCTCCCTTAGGTGAAGAAAGGATTGAATGTAGGTGGAAAACTGCTATCCACTGACAAAACAGATTATTTTGTTGCTTCTCCTAAGAAGAGAAAAATGAAGTTTTCCTGAAGAAACTGAAGCCCTTTGCTTGTGCCTTATGTAAGTTTCAGAATCCAAATACATACTACTTCAGCAGCTTTCAAAATGTTTTGGTTCCAAGATTTCTTAAAACTCTCCAAAATTATTGAGGCCCCTAAAGAGTTTTTGTTTATGTGAGTATTATCTCCTGCTATTTGCTGTGTTTGGAATTTAAAAAGAAAAACTTAAAACCCCCAAAACACAAGAGTCACAATACATGACCCCCAAATACACATTCAATGTGCTACACTTTGAGAATCACTCCACTATCTGAACTATCTAAGAACTCCTAACTCTAAACATAACATAAAGTTGGCCCTTTATGTTACCAAAGATATGGAGGGTGGCTAATAAGACATAAGCTCTTAGAATCTGCTCACATAGTATTTCTATGGGGGTTGAAGGGAGAGACATTCGGTAAAACACAACCCTCCCACAATTAAAAAACAAAAACTAAAATTTACAGAGAACAATTCGTCATAGCGATAGAAAACAACAAACAGAAGTACCAAGAACTTAATGTTATAATTCTATAAATTTATAATTATTATTAAAATATTATATATTTAATAGTATGGCATATTAATATGTTTTGAAATCATGCGTTATATGGGTATGCTTTCTTTTTGAGGTGATGAGGATCAAACCCAAGGCCTGAGAGTGCTAGGCAAGGGCTCTACCACTGACCTACATCCCCAGCCTAGATTCCACATTTTTTAATATATTTTTTTTAAATTGTAGTTGGACACAATACCTTTATTTTATTTATTTATTTATTTTTATGTGGTGTTGAGGATCGAACCCAGTGCCTCATGCATGCTAGGCAAGCTCTATGCCACTAAGCTACAGCCCCAGACCTCCACATTTCTTAACCTTTAAGAAACTCTTCTATAGATTCAGCCATTCTGCAAGGTACACATATATCAAAACATGTTGTATGCCACAAATACATGCAATTTTCATAAACTATAATATGTAATAATTAATTTAAAAATAAACTACCACTTCAGAGAATGAGAAGACAAAGCATAAAGTGGGAGACTATCCTGCAGAAGATACCTGATAATGGACTGTTATCCAAAATAATACATTAAAATTAAAAAAAAACAAAAAAACAATCCAATGCAAATGGGCAAAAGACTTTTAACAGACACCTAAAAAAAGAAAACATACGGATGGCAAATAAGTATATGAAGAGTTCAACATCACATATCAGTAAGGAATTACAAATCTTAAAAAATGAGATTCTACCACACACTTTTTAGAATGGGCAGAATATAGACATCAAATGTTGGTGAGGATATAGGGCAATAAGAACTCTAATTCATTATTGCTGGAAATGATAAATAGTAGTCACCATGGAGGACAGTTCAGCAGTTCCTTATAAAATTAAACATACTCTTATCATACAATCCAGCATCACACTTTTGGTATTTACCCAAATGAATTAAAAACATACCCACATAAAAACCTGCAAATGCATTTTTATAGCAGCTTTACTCATAACTGTAAAAACCTAGAAGCAACCAAGATGTCCTTCAGGAAGTGAAAAAACAAACTGTGGTATATACAAACAATAAAATATTATTTACTGCTAAAAAGAAATGAGCTCTTGTGTCATGAAAAGGCACAGAGGAAATTTAAATGAATATTACTAACTAAAAGAAATCAATCTGAAAAGACTACATACTGTGTTTCTAACTGCATAAAACTCTGGAGACAGTAAAAGATCAATGGTTGTCAAGAGTAGTGGGAGGGAGATGAACTGGCAGAGCACAGAGGATTATTTTAGAGCACTAAAATACTTGAATGATGATATATGTATGATACACACACACACACACACTCACAGAATGCATTCACAGAGTGAACCCTAATGTAAATAATAGACTTTGGATAAGAGTGATGTGTCAGTGTATGTTCATCAACTGAAAAATGTACCACTGATATGGGGTATTCAAAGAGTGGAAGCTGCACTTGTGTGGGGACGGTGGCATATAGGAATGCTATACTTTCTGCTCAATTTTGCTATGTACCTAAAATCATTCTCAAAAAAAAAATAATTTTTTAAAAACTTGTAAAGTATTATACTCAAAGAAAAATATCAACAATTTTCTGAAAAATTGTTAAAATATTCCTCTCTCTCTCAACATTTCTGAATTATGCTGGATTTTCTTCACATACTTCAAACAAAAAAATATATGGAAGAGCTGAATGAAAAAACAGATATATAAGGATCCAGTTATCTTCTATTAACTTAGACATTAAACAAATTTGCAAAAATGTAAAAAAAACAGTGGCCCTTTTATAAATTCTTTTTTGTTTTGGGAAACAATGATTTTCATGGAAATGCTGTTTAAGTGTAATGAGTTAATTGTTATTTTCAAATAAATTGTTAGTCAAATAATTCCTCAAAGTGCTCACTAATTTTTAAAGGGTCCTCAGACCAAAAAAGACTGAGAACTACTTCTCTAGGACTCAAAACTCAAACCAAGGCTGGGTGCACATATTCGTAATTTCAGTGACAGGAGCCTGAAGCAGGAAGATTAAGTTTGATGCCAATCACAGGAACTTAGCAAGACCCTGTCTCAAAATAAAAAATAAAAAGGGCTGAGATGTAGCTCAGTGATAGAGTGCTCCTGGATTCAATCCTCAGTGTGTGGGATAAGGGGTAAATAAAACTCAAACCAACAGCAATAGCAGGAGGCTAGAAGACAGAAATCAGCACAAAGACAATAATTAAATCATGCTATTCATAGAAATTACCAAATACTGAAAATGGTTTTTTAAAAAAAGGAAAATGTCAGATAATAGTTTTTAAAAGATTCATTTCTATCATAAGAACCTATAAAATATCACAGTACTGGTTAATATTCTCAACCGAAATACCATTGCTTTGTATCTGCTATATACTATATTCATAAAGAAATATCATTTTATATTCCATACTAAATATACAATAGTTGCTAAGATTCATTAAACTGTTTTTTAAAACTTGACACTATTTTATCTAATTTTTCCAACAAGATAGGTACTAAAACTATCTCCTATTTAACAGTTCAATGAGGTCATGCAGCAAAAAGAGATTTTGAGATTCAAATCTGAGTGCCTTCCCCTGAATAAACCTTTTCCATAAAAGACCAGATAGTATTTCAGATGTTGCCAGCCACATACAATCTGTCTCTTCTTTTTTTAAACAGCTCTTTATTTATTTATTTATTTTTTAAATCATCCTTAGCTCTTGAAGCTCCCAAAAAGAGATGACTGCCCAAATCAGCTTTTCTTAATCAGGTTGCCAGAGAGAATTAAGCTCAAATATCTGCAGGCATTTGCTGTATACAAAGAATTTACTTTTCTCCTATACATTCTAAATTGTATTACTTATGTGATCGCTGGAAGAATTGATATTCAAATAATCTGTGTTGACTTGCATTCAATATAAGAAGTAAACACAAACTACAGTATCTTGACTACAATAAAAAAGGGGTTTGTTTTGGTTCCGATTTAACTGTATTGATGACTAACTAATGCCTACAACAAGAAACACAAACCATACAGTGTTGCTCTGAGCTTACATGGTCCCTGTTAAGAATATTAGATGCTGGGGCTGGGGATGTGGCTCAAGTGGTAGCGCGCTCGCCTGGCATGCGTGCGGCCCGGGTTCGATCCTCAGCACCACATACAAACAAAGATGTTGTGTCTGCCAAATACTAAAAAAAATAAATAAATATTAAAAAATTCTCTCTCTCTCTACCTCTATCTCTCTCACTCTCTCTTTTTTAAAAAAAAAAAAGAATATTAGATGCTAAAAAAGATGGCCTTAAAATATTTGCTGAATGCTACAAAACCACTGATATTGTTACCTTTTAAAGTCTGACTATGCCCTCCAGGAAAAAACAAATGATAGAAACACTTTGCAAAGTTGTAGCATTTCAAACCCACAACTCTAAAGGTCACTGAGATTATTAAAGAGAAATGTGAACTAAAAAGCTACACTCCCTTTGGGGTAAGGTCAGTTTAAGCCAAACAGAGCAAAACCAATACCTGAATGCAAAAAGGCCACTAGCTTCCTAAGGATTTTCAATATTAACAGTGAAGCAACTAAAGCAACATTAAAAAGGAGAAGATAATCACATGCTGTGAAAAGATGTTTCAGTCAATGTCAGACCTCATATATAATGGTGGTTCTATAAGATAATATCACTTATGATGTTACAGCCATTTTAGTTTCTGTAAGAACACAATGATGTTCACACAATGATGAAATTTCTAACAATGCATTTTTCAGAAGATATCCCCATTGTAGAACAACATACAACTTTACACAGAGTGCAGAGAACATCATCAAGTTCACAAATCCCAAACCAATGCTTTCTGCAACATGCCAGACACGTAAACAGAATCATAAGGATATATTACTAGTAGTTACTTTCCAACTTAGATAACCAGAAGATCTCATACAAAACCCTTTCCAGGGCTGGGAGTATGGTTCAGGGGTATAGCATTCACCAGCAATGGGTTTGATTTCCCAGTTTTGAGGGAGGGGGGTGATCCTGCCTAGGTTAAAAGCACCTCCAGATACAATTTCCACAGCTTTCATATCAGCAATAGCAGTCATACTGTTCATTTTTATATTGTGAAAATAACACTTATTTTCTTAAAGTTATGGAAATACACATGAGTTACAACCTCTCTGTGAGTAAATGACATGGAAATAAGTTTCTGATGTTATTCTCCATTCATGACCACAATAAAGTCACAGGGAATTAAAAAAAGGAAAAGCACTATTGCATAGTAGTTTAGAACACAAACTCTGGAACCAAGCTGTTACAGATTTGACTCGTAATTTGTAAGTTTGACTCTTAATTCTACCTTTCCTAGATGTATGACCTTAATTCCTCTGCTTCATCTGTAACACAGGTGTGGGAAGAATAAACTTACTTTAATAAGGTTTTTATGAGAATTAAATACATTGATATTTGGAAAATTAGGTAAAACAACACCTGGCACAGAGTGAGTGCTCTGTACACACATAAATGGGAAACTAAAACCAAAACAATACAAAACTTCCACAAATAGAACAGAAATAACATCAAGCTGATGAAGTGAGAACTCACGTGGTTACTGAACAAGAGACTGACGATGAAAGGTCCCCTCCTGCCATTTTTCTCATATCCTTGGTTTATAATATCAGTGCTATTTCACAGTGAGTATCTACTAAATTCTTTACCTTCTCCTTCAAACCTGTTCCACCCAAAGTCTCCCCCTTTTTGGTTAAGGGCAACTAAATTTTCAGTTGCTTGAATCAAAATCGTGAGTTCTCCTCATTTGCTTACTCTCATTCCCAATAGGAAAATTCTGTTGCATCTACTAATCCTCTACCAATCTAATACATTCATAGTGTTAACCACTTCTCCCTTCTCTACTAGCACATAGATGGAGCAACCTTCATGTCTCACTTGCATGGATGTAACAAAAACTTCCAATTTATTATCTATGCTAATACTCTTGGTTTCTCTACACCTACCACAACTCCTGGCCTATTTTTAATAGAGCTGCTGGTTAGGTTGCTAAAACTAAACCAGATCATTCTGTGTCATTCTCCTGTTGAAAAGCCTACAATACATATGATTTTATTCATAGAAAAAGCGAAAGTACTCACAAGGGGCTGTACAGGTTGAACATCCCTAATGTGAAAACCAAAATCCAAAACTTTTGAGCACCAACACCATGCTCAAAAAGTTTTAGATATGGGGGCATTTCAGATTTTGGATTTTCAGATTAAGAATATTCAACAACTGTCTATATAAATGTTCAAAATTGAAAAAACTCAGAAATATGAAACACTGCTGGTCTCAAGCATTTTGGATAAAAATACTTTACATGATCTACTCTCTGTTACTAATTTTTTTTTCTTGGTACTAGGGATTGAATCCAGGGGCAGTTAACTATTGAGCCACATCCCCAGCCCTTTGTTTTATATATATATATATATATATATATATATTTTTTTTTTTTTAATTGTGTATTTATTATTTTTTAAATATGGAACAAAATCAGAGATCTGTAGCAGAGACATAGAGACTATAGATGATAAGGTAACAACATAAGGCAACAAATTATAGTTTTTTTGAAACCAATTTTATATACTAAAGAAGAACTGGGGTGGAGACAATTAAACAAGCAAAAAAGATAAAAAATAATGATTGTCGATTATGCACACAGGCACAGGAACATACATACACTATTTTGGAGTGATTACGACTCCAAAAGTTAGGGAGATGATCTCACTAAGTTGCTTTAGGGCCTCACTAAGTTACAAATCACCACACCTGGTTCCTGGATTTTTGATACTTCCAATTCAGCCAGCACAACACTCAAAATATTTTACCTTGCAGATTAAATTATTAAGTATGTTTATATGTTTATTAATCCCTTACACTTCTTTGTGAACTGCCTATTCATTCCCTTCTCCCTATTTCTTGCCTCTTGTCTGTGGGCCATGTTTTCAACTATATGGTTTGAGGAAGGCAGTGGTGGTGATGAAGAATTATAAAACCTGTTTCTTCTGCTCTTAAACTGGACAACTCAGTCCTACTGAACTACTCGCTGCAGGAAAAGGGGCCATACAGGATGAAATTGAGGGAACTCTGTGTTCCGCTTGTGTGAGACATCACACATTTTAATGTCATACAAAACAATCAGTACATGTTGCTCTATGTTTATGCAGTGCCCTGACATCTCACAACAATTTTAAGAGATGAGGGTTTGGGGTACAGAATGTGAGTATAGGAATTCAGCTTCTAAGAAGTGATTGAATGGAGTCTCAAAAAACAAGTATTAAATAAAAAACTGATGAAGAATACTCAAGTAATGGAATAGAGAATGTACAAGAGGTATAAAGTGAAATTACATGGTCTGTTTGCTGAATTACAAGCAATTATTATGACTGTTTAGGTCAGTGCCTGGCCTATGAAGTACTATATGAATACTCTAGCTATTTTTATGCTGATATTGGGACGTGGAGATAAACTAGGTAAAATTAAGCAGTAAGCTAAAATATGCCTGAAAAGCCATGTTAAAGTCTGAATTGTGTCCTGAATATTGTGGGGAGCTGATGAAAGATTTCTGAAAGAATAATGGCCTAATATCTTAAAAAAGTGACAATGACAATTTGAATCAAAGACTAGATGAAATACACATAGGTGAGAATTGCAAAGAATCTTTAAAAATCGTGTACATAGAATAAAAACTTTCATAAAATAGAGGAAATCTGCAAACATCCTGCAAGAACCCTTAGCATACTGATCTCTACTAAAAGGCATTAAGTTTAACATGTAGTTATTAGTTATTAACTAATATAATTATTAACGCTTTCCATTTTAGTAAAGACCCACAATCAGTGAAGTAAGTAATTTTCAACAAGTCTCCCAGGGTCACAAAATGCCCCATGTCCTCTTTTCCACAAGCAAGAGAAGTTGGTGAAAGCGTATGAATGTTCCTTGAGCAACCAGAAGGATATTTTCTAATGTCTCCATGATGCTATTTATCCTCCTCCCATCCTTTAATCTTAGAAGAATATTTCAGTCATTATTCATTGAAGAATTAACACCAAAACAACTTATCTAGCATTGCGTGCATTTAAATACAGAATCAATTTTATACAACTGTGAAAATTCGGATTAAAACCAGAATATAAGTAGATGCTAACACACAAAAAGAGGGAAGGGGAAGAAGAGAAGTTCAGTCGATTAGATAAAAGGGAATGGAGGGAAGAATAGAAATAGGAAAGACAGTGGAATGAATCTAACATAACTTTCCTATGTACATATATGAATACACCACAGTGAACCTCACCATCATGTACACCCACAAGACTGGGATCCTAATTAGGATAAGACATACTCCATTTTTTTTTCATTTATTTGCCAATTATTTTTCTATATTCCATGTCTGTATGAATATGTCAAAACAGACTACTGTCATATATAGCTAAAAAGAACAAATAAAGAAAAAAGAAAAATCAGAATATGAATTTCATAAACCTGGATAGCATAAAACAAAAACAAACTTGGCAATTCAGGGGAGCGATGCTTTCTAAAGTATGCTAAAGGGTCTGGGGCTATGGCTCAGTGGTATAGCACTTGCCTTGCACCTGTGAGGCACTGAGTTCGATCCTCAGCATCACATAAAAATAAATGAATTAAATAACAGTAATGTGTCCATCTACAATTAAAAAACGAAAAAGAATGTTAGAGGGCTGGGGTTGTAGTTCATTTGGTAGAGTGCTTGCATAGCACGTGTGAGGCACTGGGTTTGATCCTCAGCACTACAAAAATACAATAAAGGTATTGTGTCCACCTACTATTAAAAAAATATTTTAAAAAAGAAGAATGTTAGAATGCTAACTTCTTCACCTTTCAAAGAACAACCATTTTCATAAATTAGAGGAAATCTAAAATTGAAAGTTTAAGCTGAGCACAGTGGCACAATACCTACAGTCCCAGTGGAGGCTGAGGCAGGAGGATCCCAAGTTCAAGGCCAACCTCAGCCACTGAGCAAGGTCCTGCAACTTAGCAAGACTCTGTCTCAAAATGAAAAATAGAAAGGGCTGAGGATGTGGCTCAGTGATGAAGCACCTCTAGGGTCAATCATCAATACCAAAATAAATAAACAAAATAAAATGAAAAGTTTAAAAAAATGAAAATAACGTAGCTTTTTCCCAAATAGTTTTTCTCCATAAACTTAGAGAAAGCTTTCAGAAAATGACTATAGAATTTCTTATTGTAAATTGATTTTTATCTCAAGGTAGAGATGGCTTCAATTTCCCTTTCGGCTAAATTCAAACAGAAATAGGGTTTATTAAAAAAAAACAAATAGCATATATAATGTGATTCCTTTTGCGCGGGTGGGGAAGGGCAGTACCAGGGATTGAACTCAGGGCACTCAACCACTGAGTCATATCCCCAGCTCCATTTTGTATTTTATTTAGAGACAGGGACTCACTGAGTTATTTAGGGCCTTGATAAGTTGCTCAGACTGGCTTTGAACTTGCGATCCTCCTGCCTCAGCCTCCTGAGCCGCTGAGATTACAGGTGCACACTACTGGGCCTCCTTTTGAATTCCTAGTTTTCTAACTATCCATCCCTTTACCTGTTACCCTTCTGCTCATCCTTTTATGTCTCTATATACTGAGAATTGTTTAGAATGTTAACAATGGTAGTTATTTTTGCATAGAGAATTTGGGATGATTCTGCTTTCATCTAATACTATCCTACAGCACTTGGTTTTTTAAAATGCACTGTTTTGGGCTGGGGATGTGGCTCAAGCGGTAGGTAGCGCGCTTGCCTGGCATGGGTGCGGCCCAGGTCCGATCCTCAGCACCATATACAAACAAAAGATGTTGTGTCCGCCGAAAACTAAAAAATAAAGATTTTAAAAAAATGCACTGTAAAAATGCACTGTTTTAGTAAAAACAACCTCTTTTTAAAAATATCATCTGAAATACCAAAAATAAGAGCCCATTCAAAAAACAGTTATACAAAAAGAACATCTTTCCTGTGATTCAGAAATTCCAAGGTTATTACTGGTATAAAGAAGAATTCACTGGTACTCACTGAATTAATTCACTGGTAATTCACTGGTATTGACAAATCACTGTAATTTGTCAATAATGTTTTTTTGTTAATTAGTTTTGTCTTTAGAGGCAGTGGTGTGTTTTATTTACAAACATCAATGCCTTTGTACCACTGTTGTTAAAAACCCTCACTCAGAGCTGGGCATAGTGGCACACATCTGTAATCCCAGAAGCTTGGGAGGCTGAGACAGGTGAATCTCAAGTTCAAAGCCAGCCTCAGCAACAGCGAGGCACTAAGCAACTCAGTGAGACCCAGTCTCTAAATAAAATACAAAATAGGACTAGGGATGTGGCTCAGTAGTCAAGTGCCCCAGAGTTCAATCCCTGGTATCCAAAACCAAAACCAAACAAAAAACCCTCACTCAGTTCAAGGTCACTTTAATTCTTTGGACATTCTTTTAAAAATCTCATAGTAACAAAGGCTAAAACTAAAGCTGCTGATACTAAGGTTACCCTGGACAGACCTCTCTGAAATTTCCACAGGTGCAGCAATATGTTTTACTGACACTGCAGCAACAGTGTGAAACACATGTGCCCTAACAACAGAATTCATATCTAATGCCAGGTATTTGGACTATAAGACATAGCTGCCTATGAAAGCACAGGTGCACGTAAGTTAGCTACAGACTGTGGAACAACTTCTGGAGGAAAGCTACAGGGCTAGTTTAGGGGCAGTTCTCATCTCAAGTTTCTTATGGGGTACAGGGTCTATTTCCATGTGGCATGAACTATTTGGGCCCATGTAGGACTCAACCAGAAGTTAATAAACTTAATGGGGAGATGAGCTGAAGACCATGATTCTGTCCTGACCTTTGTGGAGTGAAGGCATTATGACTTTGGAAGTGTACCAAATTGTTTTATTTGTTGTTGTTTTATAAGATACAGTCCTAAAAGCTGTTCTTTCCTGCCTATAGTATCACTTCATACTTCAATAATGAATCAAATACTATAGTAATGTCCTTAGGAAATGTCCAAATTAAAAAAAAAAATCCTATTCTGATCCTTTAAAAAAAAATTTGAGACTTAAAAAAAACGACATTACAGTGATTCCTCCATAGAAAACTATTTCTACCTTTACATTCGTTGAAGAACAAATGTCTTGATGCCTTGAATACAACTGACAAACTTTTTTTTTAAAATAACTTTTACAGGAGTTAAAATCTTTGGCCAAGTGCCTATTCAAAGACATGTTATCTCAGACCTTGTGTCTTTCTGTAATATCTCTGATGGCAAGGTGTAAGATACACATGTATCTATCTGATGATTCTGGGCTACAGTGTACAACAACTCAGTGCAAGCACAAGAAGTTTTTTGAAAGATCCTAGAAATAAAATAAAATTTGCATTTGAATATATAAAATTTTGTTTTAGATTCTTTAAAAATGTTTTGGTCAGGCAGAGTGGTGGTAATCCCAGCAGCTCAGGAGGCTGAGGAGGGAGGATCACGAGTTCACAGCCAGCCTCAGCAAAAGTGAGGGACTAAGCAAATCAGTGAGACCATGTCTTTAAATAAAATACAAAACAGGACTAGGGATGTGGCTCAATGATCGAGTGCCCCTGAGTTCAATCCCTGGTACCAAAAAAAAAAAAAAAAAAATTTTTTTAATTAAAATTTTAAAGTATTTTGAGTTCTCAGCTATGGCACAAAAATGGCAGTCAAGAAACATAAAACCATAACTTATAAGACCTTCCCTGCATCTATGCCCAGGAATATGATGCCTCAGTTTGAAAAGCATGGTGATACCACTTGCCTCAAGGCAAATGCAGCAGTTTCTCATTTGGTTCATGGTCCACATCTGCTCAATGTCATGTACTTCACAGACTCAGTACAGCCTAAGGAAACCAATTACTACTATCAGTGGCAAAGATTTGTCTTCCAATCTAAGATTCTTCAGTCATTCACAGAAGTTCTAATATGAAGGTAAATCAAGATAAACCACTGGCAATCCCTATGGTGAATCTCTAGCCCAGTTTTTCACTGCTGTAATTCTTAAACTCATGAGCATCTTTGGCTTTAAAACAGAATGACTACAGGAGACTATAGAAGGGGAAAGGGAGGACAAAGCAATAGGAGATTCATTTTAGGGGACACAAAACATGATGGGGGGGAATAATTTTACCTTAACAGAAGAAAACTGGAAATAAGTTTTTGAGCCCAGGCTTAATATCTATGGAAGACATAACAATTTCAAATAGCACTTATTTTTCAAAACATTAAAAAAAACTTGAAATTAGTCTTTGGGATCTGAATAATCTATAAGAACTAGAACATATGAACATTTTTCATATTTTGTCAGTGAGTAGACAATATGAAAAATTTACTCTGGTATGGCAAAGTTGTAATATGTCAGTGCATTCTGGGAGAAGACTTTGTTTTTATTATGGCTATAATTTAGGTTTGGTTTTCTTTCCACTTCTAATTGTTCCTTCTTAAGGTAGAAGTCAAAACTCATGGTTAGGAACCCAGGCAATGAAGTCAGATCCTACACAGATTTAAATATGGGCCTCATCATTCACTAGCTGAGGCTTACTGATGAACAGTGCAGATAAGTCTATGTCCTCCTGAAGCATACAGTTCAATGTCACCTGAATATCTGCTTAAAAAGAATTGAGACACTAATTTCTATTCACTCAAAAATTAATTCATCTATGCAATAAGCAGTAATGGAATACCCACTAAACGCCAGACCCTAATGATATAATGTTGAACAAGACAGAAATCAGTCTTTACTAACAAGAGCCTTAATACTTCATGGAGATACACAATAAGATGGTCAAAAGCACATAATTAAAAAACATGAGCCTGAGGGTATAGCTCCTGAGTAGAGAGTGCATTTATTGTGTTCAGGCCATGGGTTCAATCTCAAGCATTCAAAAACAGAACAAAGTGAAAAAACACTTTGAAAGAAGGTTATACTCACAGAAGAACCTGATCTAATATGATGGGCCAGTCTAGGTTCTGTGTCAGAGTTATAGAAAATTATACCTTAATTTTGATCTTATGTTTAGAATTTGTTTGGTTCTCTGACAGTTATCTAAAATTATTCTCCTTCCTTCCTACTTATCTGTTTAGTCAGTCAGGGTCTCACTATGTTGCCCAAGCTGACCTCAAACTTGTGATCCTCCTGCCTCAGCTTCCTGAGCACCCAGGACTATAGCTGTGCATCCCCAGTCCAATAACTATTTTATTTTTTAAAAAAAGCATGGTAGAAAGTTCAGCATAATTAAGATAGATACCCAGGCTCACTAAACTGTAGTGTAGACTTAAGGTATAATCTTTACTAAAATTCCAACAAACTATTTTGAAAAAAGACAGAGTGATTCTAAAATTTATGTGTAGAAGTCACTAGGGTGTAGATAACTGTCCTAACTTAAGAAGTGCTTTTAATTATATCTCAATTTAAAATAAGGTTTAAAAAATCACTTCTGTTTGATCTTGAAATAAATGAGAGTAAGAATAACAAAGTACCCACTAAAGAAAACCTTCATATCTCAAATGAATATGTATCTATGTATTTATAGAAATATCCAGTGCCTAAGTATAACTGTCATTTCTTTCTGCAATGTTTTAACAGTATACTCATTCAATGCTCCCCCTCGATATTTCTTATGTCAGTTTTTGTTTTTTTTAAGTTAACAAATATGCTACAATTTTTTAAAAAATGAACCTTTATAAAGCATGTTTAGGTACATCAAGTAGTCAGAGGGCAATATAAATATTTATATAACTCAGGATTTATATAACTTAGAATCCTGAGAAACCAAGGTCTATTTTGTTTTCCCCCCTGCAAACACATGTTAAGCCTCCTGTCTAGAAAAAAAAAAAAATCCTTTCTATCCACTACTTTTTCCCTCCTCCTTTCCCTGGTTAGCAAATTCCAACTAATCTATCTATAGATTAGAATTTTTTTCTCATAAATTCTGAATGTGTTACACCAACCCCCACCCTCCCAAACAAACACATACAGAGAGAGAGAGAGAAACAATGTCTCCTTTTAGAACTCTCATCTGGTTCCTCATGTAATTAACATCCATATTTCTCCCATCCATGCAAGCCACAACAGAATCTGTTCTGCATAACACTATATCCCTGCATGGTTCCTGATAGCTAGTATAAATGTTCACAGAACATTGACTCAAAGAATAAATTAAAAATGCAATCCAGTCAGGCCTAATAGTGCACATCTATAATCTCAGTTACCTGGGAGGCTGAGGTCAAGGCCAGCCTCAGCAACTTAGTAATACCTTAAAAAATAAATGAAAGAGCTGGGGATGTAGCTCAGTGGTAGAGTGCCTAGGTTCAATCCCCAATACTACAACAAATTCAAAAATAAATTTAGTCTAAATGTTTTTAATAATGTAATAAAACTAAGTCATCTAAACCAAGATTGTTCCCAAACCAAACAAGTGTTTTTCCTTGTTTGACAATCCATTATAAGTGAGTACATCTTTATTTGAGAAAGAGCATTTTGAATTAGTATCTATGAGTCATTATCTACTTCCTTGTCAACCTGGCTCTCAGAATATAGGACTGACCTCTAGGTCATTAGTTTCTACACTTATTCTTCAGCTCTGCAGATCCCTTCTTAATTGACACTTTCATTCTTATTACCTTTAATCTCTGCTGTGTATTTTATTAACTGATTCTCCTTTAATTTCTAAGATGTCAAATATAAAGATTTTTTTAAAATAATGTTCATAAACCACTACACTAAGGCAATATTTAATGCTATTATTAGCTGTAGAAACATAACTGCTCAGGGACAGGGGGTTTCAGATCAGAATATAAAAATATGACTACCAGGGCTGGGGATATAGCTCAGTTGGTAAAGTGCATGCCTTGCACACACAAGGCCCTGGGTTCTAATCCCCAGCGCCAAAAATAATATAAATATATATAAATAAATATATATATATATATATATACACACACACACACACATATATATATATATACACACACACACACACACACACACACACACATATATATATACACATGACTACCAAAATTCCAGAACAAATCTTCCCAACCTTCAGGAAACAAAATACTGACACATAAAGAATCAAGTGCCAAAAAGAACAGACACAATAGGCAGGTCAGAGACAAAAAAAGCACCATGAAAGAAGGCATTTAGTATTTTACAGAACACACTGAACTGTGCTATTTAGGAGTCAAACATTGAGAAATGATGACATCAACTAGGAACATGGCTCCAACTCAACTGTGGCTAAAAACAACAGAAATGTATTATCCTGCAATTCTTGAGGCTAGAATGCAGTAATCAAGGTGCTGGCAGGGCCATGCTCCCTTCCAAGGCTCTACTTAGGAAAGAATCCTTTACCTCTGTCTAGCTTATAGTGATTGCCAGCAATCTTTGGCTTATAGCAATCTGACTCAACTCTAATCTCTGCCTCTCTTCCTTCTGTATTTGTATCCAGATTTCCTTCTTTATATAAGGACTGTTGGATGAGGGTCTGCCCTACTTACTTTGACCTCAACTTAAATGAATTGCATCTATGAGCACCCTCTACCCAGAAAGGGTTGCATTTCCAGGTACTAGAAGTTAGAACAACATATTTTGGGGGGATACAATTCCACTCATAACATGGTCCAAATCAGTTAATTTCTTCAAAAAGTAGACCTAGATTCCTACATGTAATATCTATAGGTTTTTGCTTTACCTTTACCCACTTCTCTTAAGTGAATAGCATTCAATTTCCATTTGAAGAAAAAATTGTTTGAAACAGGTTCCTGTTAAGTTCCTCAGGATGGTCTCAAACTTGTGGGCTCAAATAATCCTCCCACCTTAGCCTCCAAGCATCTGGGAATACAGGCATGTGCCCTCATGGCCAGCTTTAAGAATTAATTCTTTGCCCCTTCATGCCATAAAAGCTGGCTGATCTTAAGCCCCTTTTCAAAAGCAGATATCTTTCCCTGGTAAAATCATAGAATCATACTTTACTGGCCAGAAAAGGTCATATGACCCAAGTCTGACCAATAAATCCTCCCATCCTTCCAATTTGGCTGTTGTAATAGAGAATGAGACACATCTCTTTCCAGGATTTTGGACTTTAAGGATGATATAGTAAGTTTATAACTGCCACTGACCATCCTTACCATTCATTATACTTGCCAAAGAAAGAATCCCAAAGAAGAAAGAAATGCTTAGAGATGGAGAAAGGAGACATTCTAGATGACACCAAAATCCTGGATACAATCGTGTCAGAACACAGCTTTACTCTCTGACCTTCCTAGTTCATACACCAACAAAATCTTTCTGACTTAAACCAATCTAAGTTGGATCTCTGCCACTTATAAAAGATACATATAGGCAAAATTCTACAAAGTGTCATATGGTTAAAAATAGGCCTCAATTTTTTTCCAGTTATTTTCTCAAACTTGGCAACAGATAGGAATAGCCAGTGAATGAAGAAAGAAGTTTGTAACTGTGTCCATGTCCATTTCCTATCCCCTAGGTCATCTCCTATTCAACATTCTAGAATGTAAAAATTACAAATTCATTTATGCTTATTACATTATAGATCTATGAGTTCCTGGCAGCAAAATATAAACAATAAAAGAAATTTTCAGTTATAAAAACCTAAGCATACATACCTAAAAAGGCTTCAAATGTTTTCCCTCAATGATACATCATTATAATCATCCTCAAAAGCACTGACATGCTAATCACTAAAATATTGGCTACAGTGAGGACAAAATCATACTGAAATATCTTTCTCACAATTATCACCACTGTAAGGAAATTCATTGTCTCATGCTTTATTATGCATGCCTATCACTGTTTATGATTCATTTGATTCTATCTCTAGCACACTACATCACACTCATAACATGACAGAAAGTATCTCTGGACATCTAAAAGCAGCATCAACATACTCACAAGACCATCTAAAGGTTCTTGTCCTGGGGATGTAACAGTGCTTGCTTGCCTACCACACGTAAGGGTCTGGGTTATATTTCCAACACCCTCGACAAAAAATAAATAAATAAATAAAACCAAGAAATACCTCCTACTTCTTCAGGGGCTGCCCACCTCCAACTTTAATAATTGGACTCTAGAAAATCTCTATCCCTTTCCTTTTTCCATTTGCTGGTACTTCAGAAACCTCCAAATATAACAGTCCCCTCTTAGCCAATGGATGCTTGAAACTAAGGGGTAAAATTAAACCTATACACAAGAATTGCAATTCTGTAACCGTTGGTCAGATAACCAAGCTACCTATTAAGTGATTAAAGAGCAGATATTTTATACAGCGTGAATATACTGCGGAAAGAGATCATTCGTGTCCCAGGCAGGACAGAGTAGAATAATGGGAGACTTCATTATTACTCAAAAAGGTGTACAACTTAAACTTACAAGTTATTTCTTTAATTTTTTATTTACTACTTGTGGGTAACTGAAATGGTGGAAAGTTAAACTGTAGAAAAAGGGGACTATTATGCTGGGCATGGTGGTACAGGCCTGTAATCCCATGGCTCGGGAGGCTGAGTCAGGAGGATAATAAGTTCAAAGCCAGCATCAGCAAAAGTAAGGCTCTAAGCAACTCAGTGAGACTCTGTCTCTAAATAAAATACAAAATAGGGCTGGGAATGTGGCTCAGTGGTTAAGTGCCCCTGAGTTCAATGCCTGTACCCCACTTTTGGTACCAGGGATTGAACCCAAGGGCACTTAACCACTGAGCCACATCCCCAGTCCTTTTTATTTTGAGACAGGGTCTCAGTAGGTTGCTTGGAGGTGGTTAGGTTGCTGAGGCTGGCTTCAAACCTGCAAACCTCCTGCTTTAGTCTTCCAAGCTTCTGGGATTACAGAGTGTAACACCACACCTGCTACTGTCTTTCCTCTTTTCCTCTTCCCGGGCACCTACTCTCACCGCTCCCCTCCCCCCCACTGGGGGTGGGTGTGTACTAGAATTGAAACTAAGGACACTTATCACTGAGCACATCCCCAGGCCTTTTTTTTTTTTTTTTCTTTCCCAGACAAGATGCCAGGTTGCTTAGGGTTTTGCTAAATTGCTAAGACTGGCTTTGAATGTATGATCCTCTTGCCTCAGCCTCTTGAGTTGTTAGGATTACAGGCATGGGCCACCATGTTCAAATATAATGCACATATAATGAACAAAGAAGGAAGATTACATTTTTAATCCCCAGTACCTCATAATAATAATAATAAGGTTTCCATGTCCCAGCCAAGATTTAGAGAAGGATCTGGTATTTGAAATTTTATAAATATCTCAATGGTTTTGTTCAAGTGCCCAGTGCTTTCAAACACTGCTTTAGCAAGAACTGGTACTTTTCTACTAAAAAGTTTTCTAAGTAGTCCTGGGGTAAAAGGGAAAATATTGTGGAGTACTCACTTTCAACAGCCTGAATTTTCATTTTTTTGTAGACGGCAAGATAATCAGCTAAGAAAGAAGCTGAAGTTCATGGGAATTAAAGAACCACCATGATAAACTACAGGGACTGATCAAAAATACATAAAAGAATTCCCAGTGCTGAAGGCCCAGCTAACACTGAACACTGAATTTGTAGTAGCATCATTCCACACAGCTAGTTAGCCATTTACAAAATTAACAGTCTCATGCTAAGATTATTATAAAGATTGGATTACATGTAATAAGGCTGGGGATGTAGCTCAGTGGCAGAGTGCCTGCCAAACCCCAACACCACAAAAAGAAACAAATAAATTGCATGTATGTAATAACAAATATAAATAAAATGTGAGATAATGGCATACTGGAATTTAAAACTTCAATAGTAATAAAAAGGTACAGGGGATGCTTTGGAAATAAACATGTATTCTACTGTATTTAAAAAATATTCTATTTAAGCTCTACATTTACCTAAATCATGTTTGTTAACATGATATCATAATCAACAGAACACTGGTTCACTGGTTCTTTGTTTAATAAAATGTCTTGAGACAGAAATAACCAAAATTAAAATGAACACCCACATATGCAATGTGTGTGTATATATTTTTAATATCATTTGGTACTCAGAGGTACCTGAATTATTCACTAAAAAAGAAAATAATGGGCTGAGGTTGTAGCTCAGTGGTGGAGTACTTGCCTAGCATATGTGAGGCCCTAGGTTCAATCCTCAGCATCACATAAAAATAAATATATAAAATAAAATTATTGTGTCCGTCCAACTAAAAATGAATGAAAAGAAAGAAAAGGAAGAGAATGCCTGGTAGTATAGTGGTGAGATTATATTTTTTAGTTACTAAATCGAGTAGCTCCTTCTCCTATGCTGTATCCTAAGTAGGCTCCTTTCTGATATAGTACTATTCCAAGTGAACTATCCTTTCCCATTCCCCAAAGGCCAGAAAATTTGTTTTTCACACTGTCTGCCTAAAATAAGCTATTCAATTTTTGTTCATTTTACAGAGGTACAAATTCTCTAGAAAAACACAATATTAAAAACATCAATAGGCCAAGTACAGTGGCACATGCTAGTAATACTAGCTACTTAGGAGGCTGAGGCAGGAGAATCACAAGTTCCAAGGCCAGCCTGGGAACTAAAAAGACCCTGTCTCAAAATAAAAAATAAAAAGAGCCAGCTCAAGTGGTCCCCAGTACCATGAAAAAACAAACAAGCAAACAAAACACTAATAGTCAAAACTTTTGATTTCAAGAGATAAAACTCAACATCATTTGGGCTTGAGCAAAAAAGGCATAGTTATTTGCTCAAGTAGTTTTTTTAAGAGCTCCCTTCATGCTCCACTGGATCCAAGTCCCCATCCATCATTCCCCATGTCTCATACAATAGCACAGAGCTTCCCTCAGAGAGGGGCTCTCCCCACATGGTGGCTACTTCCCACTTACAATTAGCTAGCCTGGAGAACAGAGATCCCTTTTCTAAGAACTCCATCAACCAA